CTTAGTTAATTTTATTTTCTTGAGAAAGGTCTTTTAACAAGACCGAAAACGTTTGAAAGTTGTTATAATAAAGAAAAACAGTTATTCGTACTAAGCGTTCGATTTACGATTGTGGTGTTTATTTTGTTACTTAGTTAATTTTATTTTCTTGAGAAAGGTCTTTTAACAAGACCGAAAACGTTTGAAAGTTGTTATAATAAAGAAAAACAGTTATTCGTACTAAGCGTTCGATTTACGATTGTGGTGTTTATTTTGTTACTTAGTTAATTTTATTTTCTTGAGAAAGGTCTTTTAACAAGACCGAAAACGTTTGAAAGTTGTTATAATAAAGAAAAACAGTTATTCGTACTAAGCGTTCGATTTACGATTGTGGTGTTTATTTTGTTACTTAGTTAATTTTATTTTCTTGAGAAAGGTCTTTTAACAAGACCGAAAACGTTTGAAAGTTGTTATAATAAAGAAAAACAGTTATTCGTACTAAGCGTTCGATTTACGATTGTGGTGTTTATTTTGTTACTTAGTTAATTTTATTTTCTTGAGAAAGGTCTTTTAACAAGACCGAAAACGTTTGAAAGTTGTTATAATAAAGAAAAACAGTTATTCGTACTAAGCGTTCGATTTACGATTGTGGTGTTTATTTTGTTACTTAGTTAATTTTATTTTCTTGAGAAAGGTCTTTTAACAAGACCGAAAACGTTTGAAAGTTGTTATAATAAAGAAAAACAGTTATTCGTACTAAGCGTTCGATTTACGATTGTGGTGTTTATTTTGTTACTTAGTTAATTTTATTTTCTTGAGAAAGGTCTTTTAACAAGACCGAAAACGTTTGAAAGTTGTTATAATAAAGAAAAACAGTTATTCGTACTAAGCGTTCGATTTACGATTGTGGTGTTTATTTTGTTACTTAGTTAATTTTATTTTCTTGAGAAAGGTCTTTTAACAAGACCGAAAACGTTTGAAAGTTGTTATAATAAAGAAAAACAGTTATTCGTACTAAGCGTTCGATTTACGATTGTGGTGTTTATTTTGTTACTTAGTTAATTTTATTTTCTTGAGAAAGGTCTTTTAACAAGACCGAAAACGTTTGAAAGTTGTTATAATAAAGAAAAACAGTTATTCGTACTAAGCGTTCGATTTACGATTGTGGTGTTTATTTTGTTACTTAGTTAATTTTATTTTCTTGAGAAAGGTCTTTTAACAAGACCGAAAACGTTTGAAAGTTGTTATAATAAAGAAAAACAGTTATTCGTACTAAGCGTTCGATTTACGATTGTGGTGTTTATTTTGTTACTTAGTTAATTTTATTTTCTTGAGAAAGGTCTTTTAACAAGACCGAAAACGTTTGAAAGTTGTTATAATAAAGAAAAACAGTTATTCGTACTAAGCGTTCGATTTACGATTGTGGTGTTTATTTTGTTACTTAGTTAATTTTATTTTCTTGAGAAAGGTCTTTTAACAAGACCGAAAACGTTTGAAAGTTGTTATAATAAAGAAAAACAGTTATTCGTACTAAGCGTTCGATTTACGATTGTGGTGTTTATTTTGTTACTTAGTTAATTTTATTTTCTTGAGAAAGGTCTTTTAACAAGACCGAAAACGTTTGAAAGTTGTTATAATAAAGAAAAACAGTTATTCGTACTAAGCGTTCGATTTACGATTGTGGTGTTTATTTTGTTACTTAGTTAATTTTATTTTCTTGAGAAAGGTCTTTTAACAAGACCGAAAACGTTTGAAAGTTGTTATAATAAAGAAAAACAGTTATTCGTACTAAGCGTTCGATTTACGATTGTGGTGTTTATTTTGTTACTTAGTTAATTTTATTTTCTTGAGAAAGGTCTTTTAACAAGACCGAAAACGTTTGAAAGTTGTTATAATAAAGAAAAACAGTTATTCGTACTAAGCGTTCGATTTACGATTGTGGTGTTTATTTTGTTACTTAGTTAATTTTATTTTCTTGAGAAAGGTCTTTTAACAAGACCGAAAACGTTTGAAAGTTGTTATAATAAAGAAAAACAGTTATTCGTACTAAGCGTTCGATTTACGATTGTGGTGTTTATTTTGTTACTTAGTTAATTTTATTTTCTTGAGAAAGGTCTTTTAACAAGACCGAAAACGTTTGAAAGTTGTTATAATAAAGAAAAACAGTTATTCGTACTAAGCGTTCGATTTACGATTGTGGTGTTTATTTTGTTACTTAGTTAATTTTATTTTCTTGAGAAAGGTCTTTTAACAAGACCGAAAACGTTTGAAAGTTGTTATAATAAAGAAAAACAGTTATTCGTACTAAGCGTTCGATTTACGATTGTGGTGTTTATTTTGTTACTTAGTTAATTTTATTTTCTTGAGAAAGGTCTTTTAACAAGACCGAAAACGTTTGAAAGTTGTTATAATAAAGAAAAACAGTTATTCGTACTAAGCGTTCGATTTACGATTGTGGTGTTTATTTTGTTACTTAGTTAATTTTATTTTCTTGAGAAAGGTCTTTTAACAAGACCGAAAACGTTTGAAAGTTGTTATAATAAAGAAAAACAGTTATTCGTACTAAGCGTTCGATTTACGATTGTGGTGTTTATTTTGTTACTTAGTTAATTTTATTTTCTTGAGAAAGGTCTTTTAACAAGACCGAAAACGTTTGAAAGTTGTTATAATAAAGAAAAACAGTTATTCGTACTAAGCGTTCGATTTACGATTGTGGTGTTTATTTTGTTACTTAGTTAATTTTATTTTCTTGAGAAAGGTCTTTTAATAAGATCGAAAACGTTTGAAAGTTGTTATAATAAAGCGTCGGCTGCAAGAAAAGGTGTTTTAGTAAGTGTTTTGGGACCATCAGATGTTGAAAAAAAAATGCTCTCATATATATATCTGACATTTGACTATTTTGGTTCAACCTTGGTAATTTTAATAGTTAGAGAAATTAATTTTTGCAATGGCTCCAAAATTCAACGTATATTTAGCCTTACTCAAATTTTGTTAACATTTGAAGATTCATATGCAGCATCCTAAACTTGACTGTTTCAGACTTCATTAGGTTAAAATTCATTACATGTTTTTGACAATAATAAATTTTTGTAATTTGTACAAGTGTCTATCATTCATTTACTCAATATTTCTAAATGGAGATTACTTTTATATATTAGCCATTAACTAATAGATAAGATAAATAGATATCAATTTGAAAAGTACCAGATTACTTTTTTAACAGATTTTAAATTAGGCTATTTTTCAATTTAAAATATTTTTTCATTATAGTTTGGACAAATTCTTTATTGCTAATATTTAAATTAATTTTTAAATGTAACAGCTGGAAATTATGGATAATCTAATGCAGTGTTTTTCAACCTTCTTGAATAAGTGACCCCTTTACAAGTTAAAAAATTCTGGCGACCCCCCAGGGCCATATTAGTGTGAGGTCAGCCGATTAGGGTGAGGTTTTTTCGATAGCCGAGCGGTTCTTTCTGTCGTGTGGGCGCAGAATAACTTTCTGAGACAGGTTTACCATCTTTAACCCGTTTATTATATTACAAAAAATTCTTACAACGTTCTTCAAATTTTCAACGTAACACAGCTCGGGGAACAAATTAAAAGTTCCTTCAAGTGTCCGATTTTCTCCGTTTGGTCCTTCAATGTCGTACGTTGAGATCGACGGCCCCGGGGCGTGCGGCACAGCTTCGGCGAAAGTCTCTGGTGAAAGGCAAATCCGTGCAAATTAAGACGTCATGGGAGAGCGACAGTAAGTCACAGGAGTTAACGAATCAGTCGCTGTTGATAAGTAGGATCACAAAAATCCTGGAGAGGAGCACCAAGAACCACGAACCAAGAACCTTTGTCCCTTGAGTCGTGCGATTTTATAGATTTCTTAACCGTCGTCGCCTCTCCATTGGTCTCTCATAGTCACCTAGTGACAATTTGAAACCTAATGAAGGGCGCGGGAGAGGTCAACGTTGCGACTGAATATGATTCCTCTCTCTCGTCGCATTTTCCTCGAATTTATCCGTTTCCATTGTTTAACAAATTTACAAAAAAAAACAATTGCATTGTTTAATCGAGACACCTAATCCGTTTCCTTAGCATCTGAAAAGGAGCTTTTTATTTTAAATCGACACCCATAATTCGGACCTCTCAATCGACCCCTGTTTGGGTCCTCACATTAGTAATTACAGCTATGTCAGTGATTTTAAAAACTACCTATTTAAGTTTCTTTCTGTTGAAACTTAAATATCAATCAAAAAAACCAATTGTACTGTAAAATAAACAGGCACAGCCTTCTCACTGAGATTGTAGTTATTTTTATTGTAGTGTAGGACCTACAAACACTGTCTTTTTCTTTTACCCGCGACCCCCAGGGGGATCGCGACCCACAGGTTGAAAAACACTGATCTAATGCATAGGAAATTTTGTGTAGTTATTGTAATGGTAAAAATTCTGAAATATAATGAAGAACATGTCTGTATATTAGTAATTTCCACAATATTAACGATATTTGTGCATACATTCCAGATATACATACATAATTCAGACTGTATATTGTTGTTGTCTGCAGTAATGTTCGGTTTATCTTTTACAAGTGGAGTATCTGGATATGCCCACTAACTTCTAATATTTGTTATATTCTGTTCCAATTATTTTTGTATCTGCATTATCCACACATACACACACTCTTTAATAAATATCAGAATGTCATTAAAACAAAAATCAGAAATTCAAATGTTTGTATTTAATGACATTCTGATATTTTTGATGTATTCAAATTTTTGTTTTTAAGTTTTAAAACGGTATGTAATTTTAGATAAACTAAATTGTTGGAAACATTCAAAACAAAATGGATTAGCAAAAAACCTAAATTTTGATGTTTTTTTTATAAAAAAAATTTCAAAATGTCATAATTTTTCATAGTTACAGACCCATTTTGTAGGAAATTTCTTACGAATTCAGCAAGATTATTAGCTGTATTTATGTTTAAACCAAACATAATAACAAAATTATAATAAAATCGTCATTACCATAAAGACACTTTGACAGTGAGGACATGACACTTGACCCAATCCTGGATTATCATTATTAGTTGGAAAAGCTGAAGGAGCCATGCTTATGATACGTTTGCTATAATTTAAATAAAAATAATTATGTAATATAGAAAAATATAAAATTAAGATATTATATTATTTCTATTAAAAAATTTAATTAAAATGATAATTATATGAAAAGCCCTTTCTTTGTTACTTAAATTAAATATAATGCACTAAATGAATATCTTGAATAATTAATGAAACATTAAATGAAAAACATTAAATGGAAACATTAAACATTAAATGGAAAAATTAGAAACACAGAAACATTAAATAGAAAAATTAGACACACTTAACAAAAATATTTAATTTTCTTTTATAAATACACACACACAAAAAAATGAAAAATATGTAAAATTTTATAAAATGTGATTTTAATTATTATTAAAAATGTTTAAAAAATAAAATACTAACACAAAAATACTTCATTCAGTATTAAGTATTGTGAGACCTCAACCAACAGTGGGATGTAACTGCCTAACTCATGTCAATATTTAGGTGATATATTCTTCACCAAAGTTGAAAAAATCAAAACAAAAGAATTTGGTGTTGTAAAACTTAATTATCACATTTCCCATTTGATGTTTGCATGAGAAGAGAGAATTGACATTGATTGTAAAACTTTGCTTGTTACCTAATAGCCAGTTGGAATTGAAAAAGTAAATATTTCTCTGTGGAGCTTGTGGACAAAGCTGCACCCTCTTTGAAAGTGGAGAGAAAAATCAATTTTCTCTAATTTATGGGCAATCATTTGAGGAAACACAACCAAACCTTTCGAGAAGAGCAGATTCATACTGAGGTAAAAGGGGATAGTCACCACCTCCGCAATCCAAATTTGGCTCCTAGCAACAGGTTAGGGACCAATCAGAAGGGGAGAAGTGATGGACTGTGATTAATCCAAACTTGGAATTTGTCCCCAAATTGCATAAAATCCATGTTTTCAATGACACAGAGTCCTTTGAGCCTGGTGAACAAACCCAGAAGGAATCCAGTCTTCTCACAAAAAGGAACTGAAGATCTCAGTGTGGTCTTTCTCACTCTGCAAGAAGACCAAAATGTCAGAACAATAACCATCTCAGAAGGAAGAACCAACAGAGTAAATAGGACTTTTCTGTTCATCTTCATTCCTCACTGTGGTGGACTGAACTTAAGAGTTCTGACACTTATTTCCTTCTACTCTTGAACCACTTCAAAATGATTGGCTAGTGTAAGCATGCTTTATTACAATGAATGTGAGTTCATTTGTCAAACTGTGTAAGTATCTGTGTCTGCTACCTCTATTCCCATAGTTTCATCCTGACAAAACATGAGGACAGCGAGTAAACCCTATCTTTGACTGTAAGATGATGAGTCTACACCATGTGAGATTGATGGTAGACCACACTGTCAAAAAGCCTCATATTAATTTTTTATTTTTCTTTAAATAAATTAGTATAACTTGAATTCATTTTTATTGAATTCAGTGTTCATGTTATGACAAATATATATATTTTTTAAAATATATATNGGACCGTAATTATAGGGGGGGTCGACTGTATGCTAATTTTGAGCCTGAAACAAAATCATTGTTGTCCAGTGTTATCTGTATATTAAAATTTTTTAATGTACTGTACAGTACATGTATGCAGATATGTATGTATGTGTGCATGCATGCTGTTTTTTTCACCCTCCAATGGTCCATAAAACAAACAAGTATAAATAACAAAATGAATTTATTACCAAAAGTTAGGTACAAACATGGTTACTTTTTGACTTAATCACAATGAAGATTGAGGCATTTGTCATATCTGTGGATGAGCTTTTCCATCCCCTTGTCATAGAATGTTATCACCAATGACTTAAGATGGGCCCTAATGTTGTTTTGAAGATCGTCATTAGTCTCAAACCTCTGCCCTCCTTCCTAGCCACTTTTTCTGTTCAGGAAAGAGGCAGTAGTCTCTTGGAGCTAAATTGGGGCTATATGCTGGGTGTTTAAAGGTGGTAAAGACTTTCACCTTTCAGACTTCCACCCAGCTTGGAACTTTTTAATGTGCGAAGACCACCTCTTTCCTGAACTGAAAACATGGCTAGGAGGGCATACGTTTGAGACTAATGATGATCTTCAAAACAACATCGTTAAGGCCATCTCAATTCACTGGCGGCAACATTCTATGAAGAGAGGATGGAAAAGCTCATCCACAGATATGACAAATGCCTCAATCTTCACAGTGATTATGTCAAAAAATAACCAGTTTTGTTTGTACCTAACTTTTGGTAATAAATTCATTTTGGTATTTACACTTGTCTTTGTTTTATGGACCATCAGATAATTCTTTCTAGACTGCATATTGTAATCTCAAAACACTTACTAAAACACCTTTTCTTGCAGCCGACGCTTTATTATAACAACTTTCAAACGTTTTCGATCTTATTAAAAGACCTTTCTCAAGAAAATAAAATTAACTAAGTAACAAAAATAAACGACATAATCGTAAATCGAACGCTTAGTACAAATATCTGTTTTTTAAATCTTTCGAACTCGCTTATAATCCGTTGTACATGACGTCATTGTAACCGGAAATATAAAAAAAGATTACGTAACTATCTAAATATAAATACTTAAAGATGCCATCTCCCTACATCGTTCAAAAAATATAATTTGAGATACATATTCACTATTTTCTTCAATTATTAATTTTATATTAAGCTAGAGGACCATGCTGCTGATATTTTAGTCGATTCCCGGAAGTTGATTGCAAGGCCTTTATGCTTTGCCTTACAAATCTGCCAGGCTTCCGCGTAATGTCGGTGTCTCCTGTCTCGAACTATCTGCATTAGTCTTGCTTGGTCCCATTCAACATTGACGTCTTGCTGGTCCGCTAGAACGTAGGTGGCTAGCGCAGTGCAAGGTTGTTTTTTTCTTATATTTGCTTGATGTTCTGCTAACCTGTCTTTGATACTTCTTCCTGTTGCCCCTACATATATTAATTTACTTCGTCGCCTTGAGTCCGAAACTGGAATTTTATATACCCCGGGGAGTGTTCTTCTGTCCACTAAATCTTTATCAGAT